GCTGGGGGCTCAGTGGCTCTCAGGGAGGGTGGTGGGACAGTGGCTGGAGCAGCACATCTCAGGGAGGGCGCTGGGGGCCCTGGCTCGCTGCTGGGGTATCAGTGGTTGGGGGGGGGGCTGGCTCGGTGGTGGGGTGTCAGTGGCTGGGAGGGGGGCTGGCTCGGTGCTGGGGTGTCAGTGGCTGGGGGGGGCTGGCTCGGTGCTGGGGTGTCAGTGGCCGGGGGGGGGGCGCTGGGGGCCCTGGCCAGGTTCTAACCGGCTGCTCTGCCCGTTCCGTGTCCCGGGCTGTGTTGCAGACGCTGCGGAGAGCCGACGGGAGTACGAGCGGGAAGCGGCCAGCGGGACCCCTCTCCACGCCGACCCCGCGCACCAGCAGCTCATGTCGCGGGTGCTGAGCCCGGCCCTGCCCGTCCCCGGCGCTGGGGGCCTCGTCCAGCTCAGCAGCACGCCCGGGAGCCGGCCCAGCCCCCCGCACCACGAACTGCGGCTGGAGCCCCCCGCCTCGGAGCCCCTGCACCACCACCCCTACAAGTACCCGGCGGCGGCCTACGACCACTACCTGGGGGCGAAGAGCCGGCCCGCCCCCTACCCCTTACCCAGCATCCGGGGCCACGGCTACCACCACCACCACCACCACCACATGGGCCCGCCGCCGGCCAACGTGTACTCCTCGGCGGGCGCGCCGCCCAGCTACGACTACGGGCCGCGGTAACCCGCCCGCCCCCTGCCCTGGCCTGCCCTGCCCTGCATGGTGTGCGCCCCCCGCGCCCCCGGCTGCCGAGAGGAGACCTCCCGCTGCCCGCCGCCCCGAGCGCCTCCCCCGGCCCGGCCCGGCCCGGCCAGGCCCGACGGGGCCGCTGCTCGGCTCTGCCCACCCGCCCCCTGGCCCGCCGCAGAGAGCGGGCGGGCCGGAGGCCGGAGCGAGGCAGGCAGGGGCCGGGCCGGGCCCGGGGCACTTCGCTTTGCTCCAGCGACAAAGCCAGAGGGGGCGCTTCCCGCTCCCGTGTGAGCAACCGGCACGACCCACCGCACGGATGCTGTTTCGGGCGCCCGGCCGCGGTCCTCCCCAGGCCCCGGGAAGGAGGCAGGCCGGGGTGACCAGCCCCTGGGAACGGGCAGTGACTCGCCTGCGGCAGAGCCAGCCGTAGACTCTCGGTTTCCCAACGGCCAGGCCTGGCCCTCCCGCGCCAGCCCATGTGGGCTCTGGAAGGAAACTTGGCCTGGGGGGGAATCACGTTAACACCGAATGAGACGATGTCCTGTGCTCCGCAGCTGGCCCTGGGCACCTGCAGTCCCTTGGCCTGATCCTACTCCTCGTGAGATCCACCTAAGTGGGATTGTTGTGACTCACTGACGTGGGAGGACTGGGGGCTCCCTTGGCTTTAGACCTTCTCCCCCTCTCCACTGTATTTTCCAGGGGACTAGCGGTGGAAGTAGGGCTTAAAGTTAGGAAATGTTTTGATGTTGCCAGGTGACCTCCAGCTAGGTCCTTCCCAGGGCCCATCTCTTCATGACTGATGAGGTTGTAGGGGGCAACTTTATACACAAGCAACTGTTTGGGGCCCGGTGCTTCTCTAATGTAGCCCAAGGCCAAGAACAGTGCTACAGATTTTTATTTTTCCCAACAATCGGTATTAAGGTCATTACAAGCATACAGAAAAAAAGACAAAGTTTGGGCCATATTTTCATATTCTCAGAGGGTTCATGATTGCTGGTGATGAGAACACCACCAGAGCAGCCCTACAACACTACCTTGCCTGGTGATTTCCTGGTCTCTTAATACTCTCTAGTGCAGCCTGGCCTTTTAGAGGATTTTTCCCCCCCAGCATGCTTTTCAGGGGCTGGCCCTTTATATCTAGCAGAGCTGCAACTGGCTGCTTGCTGTATGCCTCTTCTTACATCTGGAAAGTATATTTTATGTCTCCCCTCAGGTTGCTTTTCTTGTGGAGATGGTCCACATCCCAAAATTTAGCTTCTGACATATGTCTCGAGCTACACATTATGAATATCCAGGCTACGTTTTTGCTTGGTGTTCCACCAATTGTCAGGCCAGTCCTGTATTTCAGAGAAGGATTTAACGGCTAATTGACCATGCGGGTTTATAAGTGCCTCCGTCCTCCTCCCCCTGCTCCACAGAATTCTGTAGAAAGAGATGGCTTATATTTTATGTCCTCTGATTCATCCATATTTGTGCCTCTGCATTGCAAATTCCACAGTGTTCTCTTGGTATCTTTTTGAAAGGGGATTCCTTACCTTGTGAAGGTGGCAAATGTTAAGATCACATAGTAATGTCTATCCAGTCTTCAGCAATAGGCTCTATCCAGAAGAGATACAGGCAGATGTGAATATTTTCTGTAACTTTTTCCATTACAAAAATCTGGATCAATTGTGAAGATTTGTGCAAGAACCATGTGTTTTTATTTGACATTTGCAGTGAATTGTGAAATTTTTAGTGTCCAACTACACAATAATAACTGTTCTCAAAAAGGCTGATGTGAAATAGACTTGTGCCTATTATTAGACAGGTGGAAACTGCTCTCTGACATGCCCTGTTGCTTTGTCGCTGTTATTTCAGAGTTTTCACTATGATTTGTTACCTGGACATTGATTAGTGCCAAAGCTTTTGTTTAATGAAGTTGTTATATTTATTTTTTTTTCTTTCAGAGATTATACAAACGTTTTTGGTTTTGTTTTCATAATAGTTGCAGTGTAGGAAAAAGTCAAGACAACCAAAGAGTCGTATCTGCAAACAGTGTAGATACTTGTAGATATTTATAGATATGTGTAGATAATCTTATTACAGTTAAATTGAAAAGACATTGGACAGTGACATTTATAAATGGTTTTCCTTCTTTTTTTGTGTGGGTGTGGGTGTGTTTGATCAGTTTGTGTGTTCTGAAGTCCCTCCCCATACAAAGTGAGGTCACTTTGGGGGGGAAAAAAAGGCAGTGTTGGCTCTGATCTTATAAGTTGTTCTATATAACCAGACAGATCCTTGTGCTGTGTGAGGCTTCATATGGTTGCAGAGATATACCTGTGTGGAACAATTTGCAGGATTAGACTTTAATTTGCAAGTAACACTAGAACAATAACTCTTTTGCATGTATATGGCGCCTTTCTTTCCCAAATACATACATACTGGGACCAGTGCTGTTCAACATATTCAGACATGATCTGGAAAAAGGGGTAAACAGGGAGGGTGGTAAAAGTTTATAGATAATACAAAATGACTCATGATAGTTAAGTCCAAAGCAGACTGTGAAGTTAGAAAAAAGATCTCACAAAACTAGCTCAAGGGGCAAGAAAATGGCAGATTAACTTCAATGTCGATAAATGTAACGTAATGCCCATTGGAAAACAGAATCCCAACTATACCTCCAAAATGGTGTGGTCTAAATTAGCTCTTACCATTCAGGAGAGAGGTCTTGGGGATAGTGCAGCAGCAGTCAAAAAAGATAACAGAATATTAGGAACCATTAAGAAAGGGATAGATAATAAGAAAAGATCGCAATGCCACTATATAAATCCATGGTATGCCCCTACTTTGACTACTGTGTGCAGTTCTAGTTGCCCCATCTAAAAAAAGATACATTAAAATTGGAAAAAGTACAGAGAAGGGCAATAAAAATGATATGGGGTATAGAGTAGCTTCCAGCTGAGGAGAGATTAAAAAGACTGGGATTGTTTGGCTTGGAAAAGAGATGACTAAAGGGGGATATGATAGAGGTCTATAAAATCTTGAATGGTGTGGAGAAAGTGAATAGTGTTGTTTACCCCTTCACATAATACACAAGCTGGGGTCACCCAATGAAATTAATAGGCAGCAGGTTTATAACAAACATAAAGAAGTAGCGCTTCACACAATTTACAGTCAACCCGTGGAACTCATTGCCAGGGGATGTTGTGAAGGCCAAAAGTATAACTGGGATAAATTCATGGAGATTTGGTCCATCAATAGCTATTAGCCAAGCTGGTGAGGGGCACAACCCTATGCTCCAGCTGTCCCTAAATCTCTGACTACTAGAAGCTGGGACTGGATGATCATTTGATAAATTGCCCTGTTCTGTTCACTCCCTCTGAAGCATCTGGCATTGGCCACTGTCGGAAGACAGGATACTTGGCTAGATGGACCATTGGTGTGACACAGTATGGCCCTTCTTATGTTCTTACTGTAGCAGGGAAATCCAGTCAGTTCTGGGGTAGTGACTAGTAACAAACTTGTCCCTAATGCACTTAACAGTATGGGGGAGGGGAGTGAGAGGAAACTGAGTAAGGATACTAGGGTTGATCCCTGCTTTTACAAAATGTGCTTGGTTTCTATAATGGCCATGCAGAACAAACAGTCCATGAGTTTAACTGCATGGAATTCTATTTATCTCCTCTGGAAGGATGAAGCCCTTGTTAGGGTTTGAACTTTTGACTCTAGGAAGCGTATCTGAGCCTGAAATTTAGATCACCAAACTACTATCCCCTCAGCATTTTTAGAACAGGGACCACTAAGCTAATTCTGCATCTGAAACGGTAGGAGAGACCATGCAGATTTAGGAATGGCTAGAATTATAAACCTTAAAAGGTATTTCCACAGCTCTCCCACCCCTGGATTTAGGCCTGGAGTCAGCAAGGTCTTTAAGGCCATGCTTTGCTTTAAGCATGGGAGTAATCCAGTTTGACGTCACATGTTTAAAAGTAGTCAATTTTAAACATCTTGCTAAATTGGGGCCTTTATGACTTGTAGTGCCTCATTAATGGCTAATCTCTCTGTCCATCCTATAACACAGGGTTGTGTAGATGTGATAAAAGGAACAGATAAGTTAAGAGGGCAAGAGATTTTTAGGGTATTGCATCCCTAAATCAGCAGGTACTTATAAAGGCTAGCATATCAGTTGCTGTCCTTCTACACAAACTAGGCAGTTGCCTAGGGCGCCAAGATTTGGGGGCGCCAAAAAGCAGTGCCCCCAATTTCTTTTTACAGCATTCCTCCCCGAGCACGCGGTCGCCGCTCCACTTCTCCCACCTCCCAGGCTTGCAGCGCCTATCAGCTGTTTGGCGCCCCAAGCCTGGGAGGGGAGGAGAATTAGAGCAGGGGTGGCATGCTTGGGGAGGAGGTGGAGCAGAGGTGAGCTGGGATGGGGAGCTGCTGCATGGCTCCCGGGGGAGAAGCTGCCGTGGGGGGGGGGGCGCCTCAGGGCGGAGGGGAGCTGCTGTAGGGCTGGGAGGGTGGCCGCAAGGTGGAAGTTTCGCCTAGGGCGCGAAACTTCCTTGCACCGGCCCTGTACACACTGCATGTAGTGAGCACATTGGCTTATCTAGAGCTGTCATAGAGACCCTCTGTGCTACACACATAGAGCGTGGAAGCCTTTCTACATGGGCAATGTGGTCTGATAAACTGATTAAGTGGCTGCACAACTGGTTGAAAAAACATATGCAAAGAGATAGTTATCAATGTTGTCACTGTCAAACTGTGAAGCCCTATCTAACAGGGCGCCACAGGGGGTCTTTCCTGGGTCTGGTACTATTCAATATTTTTCACTAATGGTATGGGTAATGAGAGCGAGCACATGCGTATACAATTTGCAGCTAACCCCACGCTGGGAGGGGTTGCAAGCACTTTGAAGGACAGAATTAGAATTCAAAATCATCTTGTTTTCGGACCAATTCTCCAATTTGTCAAGATCAAGTTTAATAAAGATAAATACAAAGTACTAGTGTTAGGAAGTAGAAATCAAATATATGAATACAAAAGTGAGAACAACT